TTCAGTGATAAGCCAAAGCTTACCTTAAACTATTCAGATAAATAACTTTATGCACAAGAAGAAAATAATCTATCCAGATATCGACGACTACAACTGTTGTTGAAAGTTAAATCCAGCATAACTCACCATGAAGAACTGGCAGAGAGTAATATGGGGGAAAATGTTGTGGGCTTTGTTCTTGCCACAGGTGATCCGGCTCTGCTGCCAGAAATGGGAAAGCTGGTTCTGAAGGGGCCCGCTGGGTCGCAGGTAGAGGACGTACTCTCTCGGCAGCGGGTCGTCCAAGAACGGGTCGTCCACGTGTGAAAACAGCCTGTGTGTGACATGGAAACGTCTCACATCGTGCTGCTGCGACATGTCGTACGTTTACTTTCACATCAAACCTTGAAAGAAGAAACGGGTAAGTGCACATATCTGACGGTGGATTATTGCAGCTGTGCAGCCAGATTACTGCCGGGGCCCTGCAGCTCACTTCGAAGTGGAACATTTCCTGTTTAGAGACTCTGGGACATAAAACGCTGCCCTCGTCTGCTTATTGGCTCATAATGCTGCTCTCGCCCGGAGCATGGACAGCAGTATTCGACTGAATGTTCTCTTTGGCTTTCAAGAAAACTAATTTTCTTCAGATTGTTGGAACAGCCAAATACCTTCATATGAATACTATCCTCCACATCTAGAGCTTAAAAGGCCCAGGACAGCGTTTTTAGGCCACAAGGAAAACACTGACTGTTAGCACGTGAGCACCCTGACAGTACTCAGCGCCAAATCACAACAACAGCCCACTCAAGGTGCTTTATATTGTAAGGAAAAGACCCTACAGAGAAAACCCAACAATCATATGAGCCCCTCAAGCACTTTGGCGACAGTGGGAAGGAAAAACTCCCTTTAAACAGGAAGAAACCTCCAGGCTCAGGGAGGGGCGGGGCCATCTGCTGCGATCGGTTGGGGTGAGATGACAATCAAATGAAAATGAGAAAAAGCAGAATCGAGTGAGTCGAGGCCGTCTCTGCACACGAATCATTCAGGTGTTAACGTGCACTGCACAAATAAACCCCGCCCCCTCTGAAGATAGATTGTTCTCTATCCATCTTTAAATGTGAAAAACAGTCGTGTTGTTCTGACAGGTAGACGAGGGTCAGTCGTCACTAGTGTGTTTGCTGTTCCTGATTATGTTCATCTGTTTATCGGCTCACACAACAGTGACCTTCGACCCAGCGAACGTGGCTCGTGCATCAGCGCGCCGTCCTCGGCTTCTTTTTCTCAGATTATCTCCTGCCATCAACCAGGATGTCTTTTCTCATATGTCCCAGGCAGCGGACGCTCGTCCACTTCAGACACGTTCTCAAGTGGAAATGAAAATGCTTCCTGTGTGTGGCAGGACGCACGATGCCCACTGTGACCAACGGCTGAGTGGGCATGATTCTGGTCATCTGCACTTCTGTGCAAACTTTCATGTGAAGAAAGCGTGGCTGTTTTCTTCACAGATGCAGAGGGATTAAGAGAAGACGAGCTCTGTGCAGCAGTAAACGACTGTGACACATCCTGTCACAGCTGATTGTGACTTATTAAAATCTTATCAGACCATCAGTTTGACGCACATCAGTTTTTATCCCACGTGAATCAGTTTCACAATATAACAAAGGAGCATAGCTTTCACTACAGCACTGTGCATTTTAAACTGGGAGGGCACTATCCTTTAAATGAGAACTTAAACATGTGCAGACATAAATCCAGCATATAAGATAAAAACTGAGTGCAGTTTAACAGGCTTGAAGGTCCATAAATGGTAAAAGGACTGATTCTCACATAGTGCTTTATGCAACATCCACACGAACACTTCCTTCTGTGCTTTCTAACATTCACACACATTCAAACTGGGAGGCTGGTGGGAGCCAGGCGTCGAACCAGCAGCCCTGCGATCAGCAGATGACCTGCTCTGTATTTTAAGTTGTCTTTAGGAATAAGAAGCTCTTCTTCGGATGTTGGAGGCCTTTTTGTTCTGCTCATTGTCAATAATGTTGAAGCACGTGTGGAGTAATCACTGCATCAGAGCTGTTGCTCTGGTGTTCAGCCCAGTTTAGTCTGTTTGCCTTTAGAAAGACTATGTGACAGCTTTCCACTGATGAGTCAGCGATCAGCTGCAGATGCAGCTTTCAGGTTCATGGTCAATGACACGGCTGCCTGATACTCTGCAGATACGTCCTCTTTTGTCTTTGTTTTAAGGACACGCTGCGAGAAAATCAGAGAATCAAAGGCAAACTTGGAAAGAAACGAGGAGCTTCAGACCGGAACGACGCAGGATTTGTGTGCTTCAAGTCTAAAGGATAAGAATACGACAGCTCTTCACTCATCAATAGTTCAGTTCAGATATAAATGCTAGAATAAAAATGTAGTCTGTCATTAATACAACAAACCTTTAAAACCAGTCAATTCAAACCTGACTGAACAAAAATCTATAAAACATTTTTTAATATTGTTGAGCCAACCAGCTACTTAAACACATGAAGTTACACTCATACTGAGTTATTTCTGACTGCTGCAGAGTACAGCTGCACGTGTCCCATGTAACAGTGTGAACTGGTTTATTTCTACAGAACACTTCCCAGTTTAAAGTTATTGTAACAACAAACTGCAGGTTGTTGTTCAGACACTGATGAAAGCAGTGCTGCTGTCAGAGTGAGCTGCTGTGACAAACACACAGATCTGTGTCTGTGTTTGATTTATGCTCAGCTGCAGTTAACCTGCAATTATTTAACACACTTGTCCAGCAGAGGGCGCTATACGATGCATTTCCTCCACTGCCTGGTGATGTGTCCTGTACACATGATGGAAATGTGCTGTATACACGTTCAGTTGGACCTACCAGTCACATGCTGCTTGGACACTCCGACCTCCAGTCGACACCAGAGCTTTGAGTCTGTGAAAGAAGAGAAGTGAAACGTTAAAGACAGCTCACCACAGCACTCAGAGGCTGCCACAAAGGGCTTTTCTGCTCTGTTTGTCTTTGAGTTGATCTTGTTCGCATCCTGAGGAACTTTCTGGCTAAACAACAAAACAGAAATCAGCCACACCTACGCACACGAGGCTGGAAAAGAAAAGAGTATGGAGAAGTTGTTGAGCATAGCTAACATCGAGGTTTCTGCAAACAGTGTTGCAGGAAAAAGGAAGTCTTTGGTATTCTTCAGGTTTTACTTGTTACTCAGTATTTGTTTAATCAGAGGTCAAAACAGCAAACTCTACTTTTGTGTTTTATAACAATGATGCAAATGGAACAGTAACTGGTTTAAAAATGTTTGTTTTCTGTCAGACAAACATGGGCAGTGCTGCACCAGAGACAACCAATAAGAAACAAGTCTGGCTTAAAGCGGGAGGAACTACAACAGCTGGTCAGGACCAGAGCAGGTCAGCTGCTAATCAGACGGCTGGTGCTTTAATCCTCGA